ACTTACAAGATGGATGCCAACGATCGTTTATTCTGACTATGATTTCATTAAGAAGAATTTGTTTGTCTATGATTGTTAGTTCAAACTCATAAAGTAGAAAGTTTTAATCGGAATATATTTTATTAATATGTTATATATACTTACAAGATGGATGCCAATGGTTGAGTACTTTCTTGACAAGAATACTTAGTTCTCTCAATGTTGTCTCTTCTGCTAAGATGAATCTGGGATTTGCTAAGCTTTTATCTCTAGTAACTTCAAGGGTAAGTGTATTTGGCATATTCTTTCTTTAGATACTTTTAGTCAAGTTTTCCTAATCTACTTCTTTATTTACTATTTTGATACTCCCTTTCACTTAATAGAATGTTTTTCTTCTTGCAGACTGTTTGATTTGTTTGCCATTGCCTTTTTCACTTCTTTCTGATGCTGTACATTTAAGTATATTATTTTTCAAGTCAATGGTGGTGCAGAACTTTTTCAATACGCTTAGTTACTAACAGCGTATTCTCCAGAGAAGAATACTGTCGCTATGCTTCCTAGAGCCGAATAATATCTGAAGTTGCTTTGAATCTTTCTAAGTCCTTAAAGGCTAAAATACAAAAGAGCATTTGCATTAATAAAAACGCTATTTTAAGCATATTTAACTCTTCTTTAACTAAGTAGGTACTTATTAATTTATCATTAGATATTAGGTTTTGACTTTCAGAATGGGAATAAAATACTCAAACGTCTAATCATAAGGTTTGTTTTTAGACCAGACCCAATAGAGTGTAGTAACATCTCTGATTGGAATAGTTGCTATTCACAGGATACCTACCAACATAGATTCTGACAAATGCCTGCTGAAACTTGTCTTCACTTTCATTTCTACAGCTTGATCAACTGTGAATAACAACCTTTCAAACTGACACCTCCAGATGACCTTCAAAATATTCAATAAGTTTAATACAAAGTTTTATATGGGTCAGTCTAAGACGTCGATATTGATACTTGAAACTTAGCATGAATTGTAACGTAAAGTATTAATCAATTGGATAAACACATTGGTCCGCCAAACATAAAACTTAATGTGATACTTGTATTGTATTCATTTGAAAGTTTTGTATCTACGAGTAATCAGATGCAGAAAATCTTCGCGGGTAGATCCCCAGCCCAGTGCAGCCCAAACTGTAATATCCCATCACAATTATTCATAATTGGCACAAAATAATTACATTGAAATTTTCTGTCTCTGAAATCGAGTGAGGTGGTTTTTATCACTCCAAGTTTTGGAAACTATTTTCAAGATTCTAGTGCAAACAGACATTGTATCATAAATATAGGATCACCCGGATTTAACACATTTCAAATCTAATACTATCCTTGAATTTATATCGTTCATATCATTTATTGTGATTAATTGTAAACGTAATAGTTTGCTTTCTATCAGATGAATGGCTTTATCACAGGACCAAAAACGTTTTCTTCAACCGAACAACATAAGATGCAGATTACTCAAACATATAAATAAAGTGGCTTTTTAAGATAATCAATGCCACCAAATATATCTTACAAAAGCTAGGATAATATTTATTAACCTAAGAATGCAGTTTCAGCTAGTTATGTTGAAATTCCATTAGATTGTTCAACGATAGGTTGTGTTTAATGTAATCGATAAATTTATTCAATATGTATATATTTTTGGTACAACATATCTAATTATCCAAGTTTCTTCAAAAAGCTATCATTTACCAAACTTCTCTTCTGATTCCAACCCAACAGTTCGATGTTTTCCATTGCAGGATTTATGACCCCAGCTATTGATCTGAACTCAAGACTAAGACGGATCATCGGATTTGAAAAAAACAAAAGATTTAGTTAAGCAGAATAAAACATCCTAACACGCCAGGTGCATTTATTTCTCTCTTATCAAAATTTTCTTAGTTCATTAATACTTTTGCAATATAAACTTCATTAAAGTTAGAATGATTTTTTATGGAATTTTATTATATTATTCATATCCAGTGTCAATATTAGGTCGTCAAGAAATTAATGGGGTTTTTTTAAATGAAGAAATCCGAACAACTTATATAACAAAACAAAACATTTATTA